TCTCTCATCCCCTTTCTAGCCAAATGTTATGAAATAATCATTTACCTTTTAGCTCCAATATGCCACTTTACTGGTATACCTCGGTAAACAAATATTTGCAAACTCCCACCAAGCTGCTAACTGATTGTCGACACAGATCTTTTTCCTACTCAAGCTCATCCTCAGTGTCCATTCCTCCTGCTGCTTTGGCTGACCTCATTAGCTTCTCTCTGCTCCTGCTTTACCAGCTACTTCTCTCCTGTTACTGCTCCAGCAGTTCAGCTCCTGCACTTCCCTGCCTGGCCTATCTCCAACTACCTCTCCAGTTCTTTGTGCCTGCAGCTCAACAACCATCTCTCACCTGCTTTCTACTGTTTGACAGTCTCTCTTTTCCTCTCACACAGCCCAAAATTTTCCAGTTAAAAAAAAAAAAAAAAAAAAAAAAGCTAATTGCTAGGTAATAGTCTTTAAACTCTTTGTTCCAAACAGACCACATCCATCATGTAATTATTAAAAAAAAGTAGGTACATGCCTTTTAACCAGGCAGGCAAAATACTGAGGGTCAGTATTCTCATATTTATATTCCAAACAAGTTAACATAATACCATTTTTTTCCTTTAAAACAGACAGGGTGGAACCTTTTTATTCCTGGCACTTCATGTTGAAGTGATTCTCTATCCATTACTAAATAATATCCTATTTTGTTTAAGGACATGAAACACTGTTTGAATTTTATTATATATTCAGGAAACTAGGATGTACTTTATAAAACAGTTAAATTTCTAGTTCAGTCAGCAAGATAAATTGTTTCCACATTATTTCATTGAAATAACTAGTCAGTTTTAACCGCAAGATGATAAGTTACTGTTACCACATGTTAAGATCTTACTTTTGCTCTTTATTTTTATTTTATTTTATTTTAGCTTTGGAGTCACTTTGCCAGTGACAGAATTTATTTCAATTGAATCATATGCAAAACCCATTGTACTGAGCACTCTATGCATCTAAGCATTTAGGGCCAGATCCAAACCCATTAAAGTCAATGAAAGTCTTTCCATTGACTTCAGGCGTCTGGCCCCATATGGCACTCTTCACCCCAGTATGCAAACACCTCATAGAATGACCACCCTCACATTATTAAGGCCCATGACACAACTACTGTTTTAAAATGTGGTCCAGACTATGAAAAAGTTTCAGAATGTCTGATATATAGGGATACATACCTTTTATCAGTTGAGCCTAGGCATTCAACATACATAAGCAAAATCTTCTGGCTTCCCTATTGCCTCAGTGCATACAGATGCTACACGGAGGGGACAGGTTATGCCTTTGGTAAGAGTGATGAATGCAAATGGGGATCCATTTGGATAATCTTTGAGCCAATATTTCAGAACTTTTGGATCTTTCCGCTAAGAAGAGGAAGAACTTAGGAGACTTTCTGAAGTCCTTAGTCCTGTCCAAGAAAAATACCAGCACTCTTCTAACATCTAGCATGTTTAAAATTGCCTCCCTGTTGTCACAATGTGGTTTCAAGGGGGGAAAAAAACAGAAGATGAATTTGTTAATTCAAATGAAAGCCAGAGGCCGCTTTAGGGAGAAACTTGGGATACGGCCTCAGTGTCACTGTGTATTTAAAAAAGACTATAAATGGTGGGTGTGTCATCAGGGCTGCTATTTCTCCTATGTGTCTAGCTGAGGTGATGGCACTCAAAAATGCTGTCTTCATGGACAGGTATAAGAGACAGCAAGTTGCCATGGACTCAAAGGGAGGTCTAGTCAATACTCTGAGAAGTAAATTAAGATTGGAGCAGGTGGTCTAACATACAGGCAGAGATTTCCAATGCCCTTAAGGAATCTACGTATCAGTGGGTGAGTGAACACAGAGTATCTGTCTACTTGAAAGTGGAAAGCTGTTAGAGCTGCAAGATGTACCTTAAGGGAGCTGCTAAAGAGTTTGGGATGTACCTTAAGGGAGCTGATAAAGAGTTTTGACTTTTTGTGGTCTAAAATGAGAGGGAGGGAGAAAAATGTTGGGTTTATGTGCCTAGAGCAACACCAAATTTGGAATCGCTTCCATTTCTGCTGGTAAGTACGCTGAGTGGTCAGTTTTCATCTGTGTAGCAACACATCTTTCACTTGTCAGAGCATTCCACTTCCAAATCTTGAAACCAAGAAGTAGTCAAGTCTGGAGATGGAGGATCCACAAGTTGAGGTGAAGGATCTGTCCGTCGCTTTGAGAGAGCAGGTGAGGAATGGGCCAAAGAGGAACCGGAGGACATACTGCCATCTGTGCCAGGTAAGAGAACCAAACTTACCTTGGCCAGGAAGGGGCAATCAGAATGACTCTCTCACTGTCTCCTTGTATTTTCAACAGGACCTTGGATAGCAGAGGAAATGGGGGAAAGGTGTATAAAAGGTCCCTGTGTCAATGGAGTTGCACCCATTGAAATAAGGGCTGAATTAGGCTATTCGTTTACGTTACATTTATAATCCTTACAATGAGAGGAACTTTATTTTTAAATTTCTAATAAAAAAGGCCCATTATATTTCACCAAAATAGGTTTTCACTTTGAAAAAAGTCTGGTGAATGAGGTAAGGCCTTTGACTGGGTCAATAAAAGTTGCAGCTTAAAAAAAAATAGTCTTCATGTTACTATTTGGATTAACTCAGTGTATTTCATGCAAATTAAATATGGAAAGAGAGACATTAAAGCCACTTGTTTTCTGTATGCACTACTGTACTCTGTCAGGAAATCTGTGAATTCCACACAAGTCATAACCTTTTCCTACTAAATCTGCAATGTGCAATGCACATTCCTTATCAGACGAGGCACAAATGAACTGAAGTGACCAAAAAAATAAAAGGATATAAGTAATTTTTACAATAGCAAATGTCTTGGGTCACTGAACAGTACTGATAAGATGAAATTATACCTGAACAAATATTAGTAAAACAGAGGAAGAAAATGTAGAACTCTATTTGTTTACATTAAGATATTTTAAATTATTTTCATTAATCCATCTCCAGAGGTTTTAATTTAGCAGAATAGGTAACTGCATTATTGTTAGGTCATTTTTAGTAAAGCAGAGCAAATACTTCCTTAATCAGTTTATTTATATCCAGTCAAAGTAGTTAAAAGGTACTAGTTTACGTATTTTGAATAGTTTAACAGTCTACTTTCTATGTAAATACTATTTGAAGAGCTGGTAAGATAACACTTCACATTATGATGGGAAAGATGTCTGTGAGACAAGTTTTAACATGCAAAAACAATTCTGTATTTACCCTGCTGTTTATTTGTGGCTTCCTTCATCACAACAGGTCTCCAGCTGTTTTCTCTGGAGCGTTCACAAACCCAGCAATAATTTGCTGGAATCTCTCTTTCTTTTTTCAGAGAAATAGCTCAAACTTTTTTTTTTTTTAA